TTTTGCATCTATGTTCATCAGTGATATTGGCCTGTAGTTTTCTTTTTTTGTGGCATCTTTGTCTGGTTTTGGAATTAGGGTGATGGTGGCCTCATAGAATGAGTTTGGAAGTTTACCTTCTTCTGCAATTTTCTGGAAGAGTTTGAGTAAGATAGGTGTTAGCTCTTCTCTAAATTTTTGGTAGAATTCAGCTGTGAAGCCATCTGGTCCTGGGCTTTTGTTTGCTGGAAGATTTCTGATTACAGTTTCGATTTCCTTGCTTGTGATGGGTTTGTTAAGATCTTCTATTTCTTCCTGGTTCAGTTTTGGAAAGTTATACTTCTCTAAGAACTTGTCCGTTTCTTCCAAGTTGTCCATTTTATTGGCATAGAGCTGCTGGTAGTAGTCTCTTATGATCCTTTGTATTTCAGTGTTGTCTGTTGTGATCTCTCCATTTTCGTTTCTAATTTTGTTAATTTGGTTCTTCTCCCTTTGTTTCTTAATGAGTCTTGCTAATGGTTCGTCAATTTTGTTTATTTTTTCAAAAAACCAGCTTTTAGCTTTGTTAATTTTTGCTATGGTCTCTTTAGTTTCTTTTGCATTTATTTCTGCCCTGATTTTTAAGATTTCTTTCCTTCTACTAACCCTGGGGTTCTTCATTTCTTCCTCCTCTAGTTGCTTTAGGTGTAGAGTTAGGTTATTTATTTGACTTTTTTCTTGTTTCTTGAGGTAGGCCTGTAATGCTATGAATCTTCCCCTTAGCACTGCCTTTACAGTGTCCCATAGGTTTTGGGTTGTTGTGTTTTCATTTTCATTCATTTCTATGCATATTTTGATTTCTTTTTTGATTTCTTCTATGATTTGTTGGTTATTCAGAAGCGTGTTGTTTAGCCTCCATATGTTTGAATTTTTAATAATTTTTTTCCTGTAATTAAGATCTAATCTTACTGCACTGTGGTCAGAAAAGATGACTGGAATGATTTCAATCTTTTTGAATTTACCAAGACTAGATTTATGGCCCAGGATGTGATCTATTCTGGAGAAGGTTCCGTGTGCACTTGAGAAAAAGGTGAAGTTGATTGTTTTGGGGTGAAACGTCCTATAGATGTCAATTAGGTCTAGCTGGTCCATTGTGTCCTTTAAAGTTTGTGCTTCCTTGTTCATTTTCTGTTTAGTTGATCTATCCATAGTTGTGAGTGGGGTATTAAAGTCTCCTACTATTATTGTGTTACTATTAATTTCCTCTTTCATACTCGTTAGCGTTTGCCTTACATATTGTGGTGCTCCTATGTTGGGTGCATATATATTTATAATTGTTATATCTTCTTCTGGATTGATCCTTTGATCATTATGTAGTGTCCATCTTTGTCTCTTTTCACAGTCTTTATTTGGAAGTCTATTTTATCTGATATGAGTATTGCGACTCCTGCTTTCTTTTGGTCTCCGTTTGCGTGGAATATTTTTTTCCAGCCCTTCACTTTTAGTCTGTATGTGTCCCTTGCTTTGAGGTGGGTCTCTTGTAGACAGCATATATAGGGGTCTTGCTTTTTTATCCATTCAGCCAGCGTTTGTCTTTTGGTTGGGGCATTCAACCCATTTACATTTAAGGTAATTATTGATAGGTATGGTCCCGTTGCCATTTATTTTGTTGTTTGGGGTTCATGTTTATACCACCTTTCTGTGTTTCCTGTCTAGAGAAGATCCTTTAATATTTGTTGAAGAGCTGGTTTGGTGGTGCTGAATTCTCTCAGCTTTTGCTTGTCTGTAAAGCTTTTGAGTTCTCCTTCATATCTGAATGAGATCCTTGCTGGGTAGAGTAATCTAGGTTGTAGGTTATTCTCTTTCATTACTCTAAGTATGTCCTGCCATTCCCTTCTGGCCTGAAGGGTTTCTATTGATAGATCAGCTGTTATCCTTATGGGAATCCCTTTGTGTGTTATTTGTTGTTTCTCCCTTGCTGCTTTTAATATTTGTTCTTTGTGTTTGATCTTTGTTAATTTGATTAATATGTGTCTTGGGGTGTTTCGCCTTGGGTTTATCCTGTTTGGGACTCTCTGGGTTTCTTGGACTTGGGTGGCTCTTTCCTTCCCCATTTTAGGGAAGTTTTCAGCTATTATCTCCTCGAGTATCTTCTCATGGCCTTTCTTTTTGTCTTCTTCTTCTGGGACTCCTATGATTCGAATGTTGGGGCGTTTCACATTGTCCCAGAGGTCCCTGAGGTTGTCCTCATTTCTTTTGATTCTTTTTTCTTTTTTCCTCTCTGCTTCATTTATTTCCACCATTTTATCTTCTAACTCACTTATCCTATCTTCTGTCTCTGTTATTCTACTCATGGTTCCCTCCAGAGTGTTTTTGATCTCATTTATTTCATTATAAATTTTTAATTGACTTTTTTTAATTTCTTCTAGGTCCTTGTTAAACATTTCTTGCATCTTCTCAATCTTTGTCTCCAGGCTATTTATTTGTAACTCCATTTTGTTTTCAAGATTTTGGATCATTTTTATTATCATTATTCTAAATTCTTTTTCAGGTAGATTCCCTATTTCCTCCTCTTTTGTTTGACTTGGTGGGCTTTTTTCATGTTCCTTTAGCTGTTGGGTATTTCTCTGCCTTTTCATCTTGTTTAGATTGCTGTGTCTGGAGTGGGCTTTCTGTATTATTGTGGTCTGAGGTTCCTTTTTATTGTGGAGGTTTCACCCAGTGGGTGGGGTTGGACGATTGGTTTGTCAAGGTTTCCTGGTTAGGGAAGCTTGTGTCAGCGTTCTGGTGCGTGGAATTGGATTTCTTCTCTCTGGAGTGCAATGGAGTGTCCAGTAATGAGTTTTGCGATGGATCTATGTGTTAGGTGTGACTTTGGAGAGCCTGTATGTTGACACTCAGGTCTATGTTTCTGCGTTGCTAAAGAATTTGCGTGGTATGTCTTGTACTGGAGCTTATTGGCTCTTGGGTGGTGGTTGGTTTTGGTGTAGGTATGGAAGCTTTTGGATGGTCTCTTATTCCTTAATGTTCCGTGTAGTCAGGAGTTTTCTGGTTTTCTCAAGATTTGGGCTTAAGTCTCCTGCCTCTGGATTTCAGTTTTATTCTTCCAATAGTCTCAAGACTTCTCCAACTATACAGCACTGATAATAAAACTTCTAGGTTAATGGTGAAGATTCTCCACCGTGAGAGACAACCAGAGAGGTTCACAGAGTTACATGAAGAATAGGAGAGGGAGGAGGGAGATAGAGGTGATCAGGAGGAGAAAAAGGGGACTCAAGAGGAGAGAGACAGATCTACGCAGTTATCTGTTCCCAAAGTGTTCTCCGTAGCCCAGACACCCACAAAGATTCACAGAGTTGGATTGGGAAGAGAAGGGGAAAGGAGGAAATAGAGGTGTTCCGAGGTAGAAAACAGAGAGTCAAAAGTGGGAGAGTAATCACCACACTCCTGAATAGAAATGGGAACTGAATGTTGGATTCTTAAATGACCAAAATTTATATCACATACTACTGAAAAACAAAGATTAAAAATCTAGTGTAGAGGTTAGACTCTTTGAAATACAATATTTAAAAACAAAAACACAAAAAAATTTAGAAATGTATATGAAGTTTGATTTAAAAATAGGGTTTTTTTTTCTCTCTCTTTTTTTTTTTGGCAAGGTTATAGTGAAATGAAAATGAAAATTAAGGAATAATAGAGGAGTATTAGAGGACTTTAAAAGGAAATAGGAGAGAAAAACAAGAAAAAGAAAAAAAAAGAAAAAAAAATTTTTTTCCCCCTAATTAAAAAAATCGTAAAAATATATGAAAATGAAAGTTGAGGAGTAATGGGGGAGTAATAGGGAATTTTAAAAGAAAATAAAAGAGAAAAAATTAAAAAAAATAAAAAAAAGGATAGAAAAAAAAAATTTTTTTTTTAATTAAAAAATATATATACATATATATCTAGGAATTTCTCTGGAGTTGTTGCGGTCAGTGTAGGTTCAGTTCAATTTCAGATAGCTCCTCTTTCCAGCTTACACTTCTCAATATCTGTAGGCCCCTTCTGGTGTAGTCGGTGTTACCTTCAGGGATTTTAATCTGTTGCACCGGTCCTTTCTGAAGCGGTTCCCTTTGTTTATTTGGCTTCTGTTTGCCGTCTCTTTGGTGTCTAATTTCCGCCCTGACACAGTCGGGCGGAGGTGATCTCTTATTTAGGTTCTCTAGTTCAGTTCAGTCCTGCTACGGGGAGGGCGGGGCGCTGCAGACAGATACCGCTCTGTGTGGATAGCACTCACCGTGTTCCGGTCACACTGGGTTTGCCCCGCTCACGGGTGTCAGTGCTTTCGCCGTCTACACTGCTCAGGCTCCCGGCTGCTCTATGTGGAGCGGGCCCTGCGTTGAGTGCGGTTCCAGTTTTCGGATACTCCACAAAAGCGCGGATTCGGTTGCGCCTGCGTTTTGTGCCTTCCCCGGCCTGAGCGGTTCAGGCAGCCAGAGGCTTGGGCGTACTCTCCCTGGGTGTGGCGCGCCTTTTCCCTCCGCTTCGAGCGGCCCAGGCAGCCAGAGGCTTGGGCGCAATCTCCCTGGGTACGGCGCGCTTTTTCCCTCCGCGGCCCCAGCGCGCGCCGCCAGTCGGGTCTCAGGAAGTCTCTCCCATGGCTTTTTGATTCTCCAGCACCCTCCCCTCCAGCTCCCTGGGGTGGCCCACAGGACAGAGCCTCAGCCCCTTCTTGTACCCTTGGTGGTGGCGCCTTTGAACTTCTAACTCCACGCGTGCCGGGCCCTCTGTCTGCACATTCACTCGAGGTTGAAACGACTGCATGGAGGAGCGAGTCACAAGCCAAGGGAAAACAACTGTCTGCCTTGGGGCCAAAGCAGGGATGCGGCTGTGGGCACCCGCAACTGGGCATCAGGAACCCTGCTTCCCAGACCTGTCTCCAGCTCACCTCCCTGGGCCTCCGCTTCCTGCCCTGGGTCAGGGTGGGGCGGAGTCAGGAGGGCCCCCAGCCCTGGCCCAGCTGCCCTGTCCTGGGCTCACCTTGGACCCTCTTTGCCCCACAGGCCACCAGCTCTGAAGATCCTGCTGATCAACACCAAAGTGCCTCGCAGCACCAAGGCCCTGGTGGCCAACGTCAGGAGCCGGCTGCTGAAGGTACTGCTGGTTCCACTCCCGGGAGTGTTCCCGGTGGGGCCACGACACTTACGTTTGGGTGTCCGAGCCCTCCTTCTGCCTCCTGGGTTAATGGGGGGAGGGGGTGGGGGGCAGGGACTTGGGGAGGCTCCGTGCACCCACAGCCCAGCAAGGAGGCAGGACAGGAATCCTTAAACAAGCTGCCTTTGCAGTGAGAACCTCCTCTCTGCTTGGGTCTGTGGTGGCCGGGCAAGGCAGGGACCAAGCCCGAAGGAGACGGGTTCAGAGGATGGGTGTGGGGCCATTTGGACACCTTCCCCCTCCACTAGGTGTCTGCCAACCCCTAGGCCTCACGGGCACTCGTCTCCTTGCCCTGCAGTTCCCAGAGATTGTGGCCCCTCTCCTGACCTCCATAGACGCCATCTCCCTGGAGTGTGAGCGGGTGCTGGGGGAGATGGCAGCGGCCCCCACCCCGGAGCACTACCTCGTGCTGGAGGTAAGAGCCCAGCTGCAGCTCGGGGTCCCCCACCCGCGGCGCTGGCCCAGGCAGCGGCTGCCTGTCTGTGCTTGGAATCCCCGGGAGCTAAAACGCAGAGGCTGGGCCTGGAGCCTGTGTGTGCACCTGTGAACAAGTGGGTCTTCTCTTGAAGCCTCTTCCCAAGTGATTGGGAGCAATCAAGGGGACACAGACACCCCTGAGTGTGGTGTCTAGTGTGTAATAAGTGCAGCGGGCCAGGCTTGGGGTCATGTGTGTAAGGACACAGTCCTCCATAATTCCAGGAGTGATTTCTCCCCTGGCCACTTCTTTCCTACTCTGTTTGCTGAGTACATTTAGTTAGTACTAAATACATCAAGTTCACGCCGTAGCTGTCTCTCACATGCTGTGGATCAGACATGGTCTGAAATCTTTCATCAATGCTCCAGCCCCCACCCTTTGCCTAAATCTAGCTCAGAGATTGAGACCTCACACATGGGATTTCATCAGGCCCACGTCTGAATCCTGACCTCACTGGAGTGTCTTAAGAATGAAGTCAGATTCCATGGGCAATACAGGGGCACAATGCCCGATGAGCCACCATGCTCAGCCAGAGGGCATGGGCTTATTCCCAGACCTGGCCCATCTGGCCCAGTGAATGTGAACTGGCATTAAAAACCCACCTGGCTTCCGTGGAAGAACCGGAGGATCTGGCAGCCCCGGCTAACATGGCTGTGCTACAGCGGGTCAGCCAGAGGTGCCCAGGGAGCCACCTCGAGAGAGGCCCTAGGGTCTCCGATTCTCCACATTCCCCACCACTCCCTGATCGTTGCCCACAGCCACTGTACCCCGTGCCTGGGGCCTCCCTGTCCTGCTGCAGGCACTTGAGTCTGCAGCCCCTGTCATGAGTGGGAGCTGGTGCTCTCCAAGTCTCTTCACAGATAATTCCTCACTTAATCCTCAAGCAGCCTACCTGTGAAGTGGGTACGTTGCCACCCCGTTACAGACATAAACACCACGACCTAAAGAGAAGGACTTTCTCTGAGATGTTTCAACTAGTGAGTGGGTGAGTTTGGAGTCAGTGACTTGTTCGTTTATTCCTTTAGTCAACTTTTTTTTTTGGTCTCACTGCGCAGCTTGCAGTATCTTAGTTCCCTGACCAGGGATTGAACCTCATCCAGGGCACTGAAAGCACCAATTCCTAACCACTGGACCACCAGGGAATCCCCCCAAATTTTTAAGATGGCTCGGTGCAGGGATTCCATCTAATTCATTTCCAGGCTTTTGCCCTCATTCCCCCAGCTATCTCCCTCCATCCCTCCAGCCTTTTCCTGCTGGTTCTCGATTCGTTTCACGTAGAAAGGAAGGGAACACAGTCCTCCCGAGGAGGAAATTAATAATGATGGAGTGCTGCCTAAAATACACCCCGTTGAGCCCCTGGAGAATGCCTCGGAACAGCACGTTGATTATACAGCATGTATATTTTTGGCTGCGGCCGTCACTGAAATGTGCAGCTCGCCTCCCGGACAGCTCTGCACTCACACCAGTGAGCTGTTCTCCTGTGTCACAGCCTGTCATCCGATCCTTGACAGATTTTGGATCAGAATGTGACAGGTGTCTGGAACCTGCCTTGGCAACCTGACACCTGGTGCTCAGGCACCGAGAGAGGCCCCAGAAGTTTCCCCTCCCCTCCAGCCTCCAGGGCCGGTGAAAGACACCCAGGGCTGCCACCGGGCCATCGCGCATGTCTGCTCGTTTGTCACAAGTGCTGGGGTGTGGGAGGCAGGCTACCAGGGAGAGGCAGACATGACCCTGCCCGACAGCCCCGGGCAGAACCAGGTGGGCCTCGGCACACAGCCCCGTGACGGGCATCCTCCTGGCACACAGGTCCTCCCGGGACCCTGGGGCAGAGCTGCGCGCTGTGAAGCCGCACACGGCAAGGAGAGGGTGGCGACAGGGAGGCCAAGGGTGCTCTCAGAGGCGAGAGACGCGCGCGTCACATCAGGCAGACCCAGTTGCCGATGCCGGCTCAGCCCTTCCCAGCTCAGCAGCCACTCTCCCCTCTGAGCCTCAGTTTTCTCCTTTGAAAAATGGGGATACAGTAAATGAAGCATAAAAGCACTAATAGCAGCTGATGTTTGCCGAGCACTTACCTTGTGCCAGACTTCACGGGAAAGATGCCTAATTCCATCCTCCTGGCAACAAGGCAGATACTCTTAGAATCCCTGTTTTACAAGGGGGAGCCCAGGGGCTTTCCAGGCAGCACAGTGATAAAGAATCCACCTGCCAATGCAGGAGACTCAAGAAACTCAGGTTCAATCCCAGGAAGATCCCTGGAGGAGGAAATAGCAACCCACTCCAGTATTCTTGCCTGGGGAATCCCACGGACAGAGGAGCCTGGTGGGCTACAATCCATGGGGTCGCAAAGAGTCAGACATGACTCAGCACACAGCACACAAACTGAGGCTCAGCTGAAAGACCTCATCCCAAAACACGCAACCAAGAAGTATCAGAGCCAGAACTCAAACCCAGGCTCAGCTGCCTTCAGATCCCACGTTCATAACTTCCCAACAGCAGGGACTAGAGTTCATTCTTAGAGCCCCAACATCTAGCAAGGTGCCTGGCATTTTGACGAGATTTGCTGACACCATTGGAGTAAATGAAATATAAATAGGAAATGCCTTGCTAGTGGAGATCGTAAGCTTTTTTATTTCATCAACCTGCCTCTTGTTTGATCTGCAGGAGAGCAGGAATTTTATTATCCATAATCAGAGAAATCTGAACAAACATTTAGCAATTCCCCCAACTCATGACCTAGTTAGAACTATACACACCCATTCTTCTTCTGAAAGTTGGTTCCTGAGGAAGCAGCAGGATAGCATATATTACTTGAGACTTTTTCTGCAAATGCCCAAAATCCATCTCAACCAGGCTTTAGCAGAAAAGGAATTTATTGGCTTCTAAATGGGAAGACCAGAGGCGACAGCTTCAGGCATAGCTGAATCCAGGGGCCAAAGACAACGTCATCTGAAATGTTTCTCTGTCTTCAGTGTAATCTCTGAGAACATATGCGGGGAAGATAACTCCGGCGGCGTGTCTCTGAGGTTGGCCAGTTTTAGCAGCTCCAGTGGAAAGAGGCAGGGTAAACCCTGGGAGGGCTGTTATTGTCTGACCAGTCCCCACGGCCAGAGCCTTCCGTGGCCAGACCTGGGACGTGTGCTCACCGCCAGCTCCATCCAAGCCCCACTGGGAGTCCTGCAGGAAGGAGAGGGTCTCTTTTATCAGTGGAGAAGGACAGTGTGCCGGGCAGTCAAAGCCTTTTGAGGTCCCAAACCAGCAGCTGTCGGATGGGGCGGGCCCAGGACCTCAGCTCAGGCAGGCCAAGCCGGAACAGAGAACTTTCTCCCCAGGAGCTCATTGACATGAACCAGCACCATCTGAATGCCCTCGGTGTGGGCCATGCCTCGCTGGACCAGCTGTGCCAGGTGACCACGGCCCACGGACTGCACAGCAAGCTCACTGGCGCAGGCGGTGGGGGCTGTGGCATCACACTCCTCAGGCCAGGTACCCAGGGGGCGGGCAGGGTTGCCAGCCTGGGCGCCCACAAAGCTTCCATGCGGGCAGTTCTCGGGGGAGGAGGAAGAAGCCTGTGAACAGTCACCTCTGCTGTGTGGCCTTGGTCAAGGGAATTAACCTCTCTGGGCCTACATAGCATCTAGTTTATGCAAAATCATTGCCCAGATTCAAGGAAGAAAAACATATTCAGAAAGCCTGGCACAGGGCTTGTTCCTCCCATCTCCTTACCTGCCAAGCTAAGCACAAGCTTGAGAAATAACCAAGGCCTTGTCACCATCTACCATCACCGCCACCACTACTGGCCTGCTGTCACCTCCTGATGTGGCCAGGACGGGGACTGACCTTGCTACAAAAGAAACCTATCTCTACCCTCTTTAGTCTTTGGGGAAAGAGCAGGGCTGAGGAGCGGGCTTACAGCAGCATGCCCTGTGCTGGGGCGTTGAGTCACCGCTGCTTTCAGTTGGCTTCCTCTCCATCTCCTTCCTTTTCTCGTCCTGCTCTCCCTCTTGCTTTGCTATAAGCCCACAGCAGTCCCCTTACCTGCAGTAGGACTCCCAGGCCTCAAAGAGATGCCGCGCCTTAACTTTGGCCGACCTTGACTGTGGGGGCCTGGTTCAGGGGCAGTGACGATGGCGGGAGAACATTCCTGGAGTGTGTGCGGTACACTGGGCCAGGCCCTCCACCTGTCGTAGCCCACGTCAGCCTCTCCGTAACCCTTGAGGGGTTGGTCTCATTGTCAGCCCCACCCCCAGATGAGGAGATGAGGCTCAGAGAGGGGACATCATTTGAGGCCCCACCGCCAGGTTCCACATGACTCAGGGGTCCATAACCTTCCCGTGGAGGATGCCAGGCTCGGCGTTACAACAGGAACACCGGTCCCCTGCCTGTGCTGCAAGCGGGGCTGAACGTTCTCTGAGGGAGCCGATGGTGGGAGTGACCTGCTGCCCTTCCTGCCCGCAGATCTGCCACGGCCGGAGGTAGAGGCCGCGAAGCGGGCGCTGAGAGACTGTGGCTTTGACTGCTGGGAAACGAGCATTGGCGCCCCTGGTGTGTCTGTTCACACGGCCGCCTCCCTGGACGCCTCTGTCCAGCACGCTCTGGACAGCCTCTGAAAGGAGCCCACGCGGCTACAGCCCCACCACAAAGCCCCTTCCCAGATTCCTCTAGGTGCTGAAGTTGGCTTCTGTGCTGGCCAGTGGATGCCCAGCTCCTGATACTGATGAGAGGCCCCCAGCCCCTCTGTGATAGCCCTCCCGCCAGCTGTGCCCCTCGTTCTGCACCGTGAGCCAGGCTGCCTGGAAGCTGTGGTCTGTATTCTACAACATTCTCTTGAGCCAGCCCATCAGTGGGGTGTGTGTGGCTGTTGGAGACAAGAGGGCCTCTTTCCTGGCCTCCCGGAAATTTCCATGGACCCACAGACTCCCTGGCTGAGCTGCTTGGATGCCACATGCAGGGGTCTGGTTCGCAGAGCAGCGGACCTTCTCCCTCTGTCTACCTCTGCACTCCTGCCTGTCTGTCCCACCTCCCCCAGGAAGCCTTCCTGGGGTGTTTGGGTGGTGATCTTTGCCTTCTGCCTTCCATCTGGCCTGAGGGTCGGCCAAAGGCAGGGTCGATGTGCAGTACCTTCTGGTCTGTATCCGAGGGGGTTGCAGAAAAGATGGCAAAGGGGAAATAAAAAGATCTTGAGTAAACAGTGCTTCACTCACTTCTTTCCATGTCTAGAAAGAAATGGGAGGGTCTGATAGTCTCCCGTCACCCATACCTGCCGCCTCTCTCCTGTCCCTTCTCCAGCCACTTTCTTAGTGGAAAGGGCTTTGGGCCACTTGGTTGTATGTGTCCATAGGATAGGGCAGAGTTTCTCCAGATGGCCCTGGTGGACAGGATGGATGCCCGAACATCAAACTCTCAGCCCGTCAGCACAGCTCCAGCCTGTTTTTCCAGAAAGGGGGATTTTAAATTTCCTAGCTCAGGAGGAACTTCCTAGCTCATGTATACTTACAGCTGATTCATGTTGTTGTATGGCAGAAACTAACAACCTTGTAAAGCAATTATACTCCAGTTAAAAAACAGAGACAGTACTTTACCAACCAAGTTCCATCTAGTCAAAGCAATTTTTTCCAGTAGTCATGTGTGGATGTGAGAGCTGGACTATAAAAGTTGAGTGCTGAAGAATTGATGCTTTTGAACTGTGGTGTTGGAGAAGACTCTTGAGAGTCCCTTGAACTGCAGGGAGATCCAACCAGTCCATCCTAAAGGAAATCAGTCCTCAATATTCACTGGAAGGACTGATGCTGAAACTCCAATACTTTGGCCACCTGATGCGAAGAACCAACTTGTTGAAAAAGACCCTGATACTGGAAAAGATTGAAGGCGGGAGGAAAAGGGGACGACAGAGGATGAGATGGTTGGATGGCTTCACCGATGTGATGGACATGAGTTTGAATAGGCTCCGGGAGTTGGTGGTGGACAGGGAGGCCTGGCATGCTGCAGTCCACGGGGTCGCAAAGAGTTGGACTTGACTGAGCGACTGAACTGAACTGAAAAAGTAAAAAATAAAAAAATAAACTTCCTAACTTCTCAAATCGTGAGCACACACTAATTCACAGACTTTTCTAAGAAATGGAAACAAAACCTACTGGCTTTGGTCGTCAAATATTCCTTCCTCTCTAAAATTGACTGGGTGGGGAAAAGAGACTTGAGTGCCGGTAGCCAGTGTCTGGCACCCATCTGGCCCTATTGGAACTTTATATTGCAAGTAAGGGCTCTTTATGAAATGTCAGAATCCACTCAAAACCTCTAGTAGCCAGCACATTATTACAGCTCTCGGAGCCCCAGGTCGACAAGAAGGTGGGGGCGCTGGGGCAGAGAGTGCAGGATTTGGTTTAAATGGCTCTGCGCTTCTGCCCTTGGCCACTAGGGGGCAGCTGGCTTCTTTCCCAGTGTCTTCAGGGGAGGTGGGTAAGAGCGGCCTTAGAGCAGTCTCCCTCCCCTCCCCCAGACACCAGGGTTCCGTCTCTCTAGGTTCTGCCTGTGGTCACTGCCAGGAATCAGGGTGCTGGGAAGAACGTCTGCCTCAGCTTAACATGTGAAAATGGCCCCGGCGTCACTGACGGGCAGTTGCCTGCCTCTGGCCTTCAAAACAAATACTGCATAAAATGATATCAATACCTGGCCTTACTGTCTTAACTGGGGGGCACTGTCCTAAGTACTGTTCCTCAGTCATCTCTTTTTATCTACCCCTAATCTTGGAGAATAATTGCTAGTCCCATTTTACAGATCGGGAAACTGAAACTCAGAGAGGTCAAGTAACTCGTCCGAGGTCACACAACTAAGCAGCATCCAAAGCAGGATTCCACGTCAGCTGGTCTGGCTCCAATACTGGCCTCCTGCCCCTCTGTGCTTCTGCTTGGACACAGGTTTGTTGTGATTCTTGCTATTTTCCACACTCGGGCTCCTGATTTCCTGCAGATGCTAATGTACTTGGTCAGAGTGGACCTGGGCCTGGCTCTTTTTCGAAAGCTCCCCACATGATTTGAATGAGCTGTCAGGGCTACACGATGCCTTCTCAGGGCTGATGCTGGTTGACAGCATTCCCGCACTTCGGGAGGTGGGCCTGCAAAGGGGGGTGTCCAGAGGCCAAGGCCCCAGAACCTATCTGCTCCTTGAGACCCTCCCTCTTCCTCCTGGGGACCGGGTGTCACTCCTGGGGCACAAGCCAACCCGTTACTCTTGCCCCACCGAAGTCCCCACCCGGCACGCCGTGGCCTGCAGCCTCTCACCCCAGCCACCACCATCACTGGCCGCCATGTGGGCCTGGTGGCCCCCACTCCTGGCCACCTGTCTTTGATGTCACATTTGTAGGTGATTTGCATTTGTAGCCTCGCTGTTCTCACTCCCAGGCGCGCCTAGAAACCACCTCTGAATGCCTCCCCCCACCCCCAGACCTTCTGATTTAACACATCTCGAAGGGGCTCAATCCTGAGTGGTTTTCACAAGTTCCCAGGTGATTTTAATGTGCTGCCAGGGCTGACATCACTGAACTAGATGTTGCCTAAAGTCATACCTCCCAAGAGCTCACCTCTACCTGGGCCCCCATTTGGCTCTGCCAGCCACTCGCCACTTGACCTCTACTCTTGCGGCTGCGGGCTCCCCTTGGGGAAGATGGAAATAATAGTAACGCCTACCTTATAGAGTTCCATGAGGACTGAAAGAGAAAACGCACGTACACCCTTGGCACAGTGCCTGGCACATTGTAAGCGCTCAGAAAACACTATTATGATTGGTATAATTGTTGACTGCATCACATGGCACGCAGAACTTCCCCAACCAGGGATTGAACCCGCACCTTATTATAACTGTCCTGAGCTGAGAAACACGGGTGTCTCTCAGGGTCCAGAAGCCTCAGAATGGTGCAGAGAGCTGGTTAGAAGCACCCAGTCCTGCTGATTCAAACCCCCTAGGTGGAGACCCCCAGGATTGCTGTTTGGGAAGCACAAGATAATGCCAACTGGCTTTCCAGCCTCCTGGCTTCCTCCTGAAAGAGGCAGTGGCACAGCCCCGCACCCTGTCCGCCAGCCCGAGGACAGCAATTTCTCAAATCGGCATCTGGAGTGGCTCCCAGCCTCGGCAGCCGACTTAACACCCACCCTCACAGCCTGAAGCTCGCAGGAAATTTCCCTACTCTGGCAGAGGTCTCGCCTTGGGACACAGGCAGCAGACACTGTGATCCCTGCTGACGGAGGAGCTGCTGCGGTTGCACCCTTGTTCCTGCGGTCAGTGAGGATCGTCTTCTCTCTGAGACTGGCTCCTGTGGGCCACTGGCAGCCCGGCGAGTTAGGCGGCGCGGGTCGCAGGTGGCCGTGGCCCTGCCCCTTTGCCTCTCAAGGTCCCCCTTTTCATTCTTGTTCTCTGGCCAAAGCTTTTTCTTTTTTTGTTTTTAAAAAAAGAAGCCAGCACACACCCCCTTCTGCAGCGCTGCCTGCCTTCCAGCTCACTTTGTACCACTCCTGGGCTGTCTCTTTGCACCTACTCTGCGCCAGGCTCAGTCATCAGCTTAGGTGAGGAAGGCGAGGCCAGAGGGGCATAGCAACATGCTTACAATACGTTTTCATCTCCAGCGCCCGGGGCATAGGCACATTTCCTCCCAATCGTCTCCCAAATGTCCAGAATCCTGTCCAGGACCATACATCTGACTGTTACAGCCCTAAATTCTCTCTTAAGTTAGCACCGCAGTCCTGCACACATACACACACCTTTTCTCTTCATTACGTGCCTTACCTCGCCAGCCATCCTGCAGAAGGTCCCATCTTCTGCACTGGTCATTGCGAGTTACACCCCTCCCCGTGGCTCTCTCGGCTCTGAAGTAGCCAACAGCAGCCGTCCCGAGCGCCTGCTCCATGCCTAGCATGGTGCCTAGCACTTGAGGTGCCTTCTCCCTGTGAATCCCCTCAGGGAGGTGAGACAGGGAGGTTCTCATCCACTGATGAGTAACCTGAGGCCCAGGAGAGGGAAGTGAGTTGCCTGAGGTCCCGAGACAAGCAAGCGGCAGAGTGGGAGTTGAACCCAGGTCTGTGTGACCCCTGAGCCCTGCTCTCAGCCTCTGTGGTGGACTGTTTCTCTGGGAGGTGACCCTCCCCACGTCCCCCTCCGGTCCCTGCTTCACTGTCATGAGTTGTCACACCTGCCTCCGAAGGGCTGGCTCAGCGCACCCCACCAGCCCACACCTGCCCACACACTTTGGATCCCCCACCCCCCTACCCACGATCCTGCCAACACCATCTCCTGGGCCACCCCCAGCTCCCTCCAAGCAGCAGGAAGGGATGGGGAGGCCCAAACGCATGCATTCTCACCACCCTCGTGGGCTCACTGAGGCGGAGGCTGCCTAATCACACACACGGGAAGAGACGGGAACTGGGCCTCTTTGGCAGGCTGCTTTGCCAAACCCCCCTGGCACAGGAGATTAACTGGGTCTGTTCTCACACAATGTTTTAAATCTGATAGGGAAAACATCCATTTTGATGCATTTGCATAATGCATTGGCTGAGGAGGTGTCCCCGCCGTGGATGCTTTCCTGGGATGCACCTGGCCTCCCTCCTGGGCATCCTCCCTGCCC